CCGTCTGTCTGTCCATCCGTCTGTCTGTCCACTTGTCTGTCTGTCCATCCGTCTGTCCGTCCACCCGTCTGTCTGTCCACCCGTCTGTCTGTCCATCCGTCTGTCTGTCCATCCGTCTGTCTGTCCATCCGTCTGTCTGTCCATCCGTCTGTCTGTCCACTTGTCTGTCTGTCCATCCGTCTGTCTGTCCACCCGTCTGTCTGTCCACCCGTCTGTCTGTCCATCCGTCTGTCTGTCCACTTGTCTGTCTGTCCATCCGTTTGTCACCTGTCTATTTTTTGTCCGTCTTTGTAATGCTAATTTAAAAAGTCATTCATATAATTTTTTCCCTGAATTTTATTACATTTTCAAACTTTATTCTATTCAATTAATTTATTCTCAAATTAAATTCAATTCTATCAATTTATTTTCATATTGTTGAGACTTTTTTTTTATCCCAACTCTTTTGTTTGTTTGCATCAATATTTAAAATGTTAAAAAAAAAAAAGAAAAAGAAAACAATTCAGATTTGTAAAAAGCCAAACTATCAAATATTTTATACAACTCACTCAATCAAATCAAAGTTACAAAAAAAGCATACGGAAATTGAAGGAAAAAAAATCAATAAAAAAAATCATATTAAAAAATAATTTATTTTAAAATTACTAATAATTACGATTAAAAAATTGCACGAAAAAAAAAAACAATAATAATAAAAAAGAGATGAAAAAGAAAATTTTTTCATTTTTATCATTTCAGTACAATAAAAAATGACATTTACATCAAAATGTTAGACTAACAAAATATTCAAACAATTGCTTAATTTATGTAAAAATTTCCTTTCTTTGCTTCTTCTCTTCAACAATTATTATTTGCTTCCTTTCTTTACAACTCAATCATTCATTTTATGAATGACGACAATCTGATATTTTTTATTTCCTTCTTCCATACGTTTCATCAAATTAACGAATGAAAAAAGAAGGAAGTAAAAATAAAATTGATTTTTTTAAAAAAAAAAAGCTAAATGCGATAATTATTTTGAGTAAAGCTATGATGCATATATATAACTTATATGTATGATTATGAAATATTTGCGTAATATTGAAATTAATTTTATCGGTCTAAAATTTTTTTCCATATAAAATGAAAAGATTTATGCAAACTAAAAATTTTACATTCAAAATGTCAGCATATAATAATAGCTTATTAGTTGCTTATGAGAATAAATCATTTAATCATTACAATTTAATTTTTCTGCATTAATTTATTGAAATTTTCAAAAATATTTACTTTCGTACGGTATGTCAAATGTTACTTACAGTAACTTGATCGCAATGAACTAAAATTGAATGGTTAGTGGAAGTATAAGAAGCAATGAATGCTAATTCTAAGCATTTGCAAAATTGTAAAAATTTCTTTTATTTAAAAAAGTAATATTTGGTGTTAAATTTTGATGTGATTTTGTCATAAATTTTGTTTAAATTAATATTGTTTTTGTAATTAAAACTTTGTAAAACTGTCAATTAATTAAATATGAATTGCAATTAATTAGATTTTTTACTCTTTATAAAGTAAGACTTTTTCAAACCATTTCTACATTGACTAATTTGATTGTTTCTATTGTAGCATTACCATCTATTGAATGATCAAAGCAAAGAAAGCATTATAGGGAGTAAAAAGAATAATAATGCAGTAATACTATTAATCGTATTTTATATTAAATTTCGAATTACTGTATTTCTTGCTCGATTATCTAATACATTAAACATCGCGCATTAAATGTCATTCGATATTATTAATTATTACACTGTTGAATTACTGTATTATTTACCGATATATTCGATTTAACGAATTCTTATACTTCATGGGATCAATGATTATTTATACTATTTTTAGCAAATATTAAATATTGGGAGCATCGAAAGATATTTGTTTTATTTTATAGTATTAAATAAATTGATAAATAAGTGATACATTTACAGTTAACAGTCTAGTAACTTTTCAGGAATATTAATTAACAATTAATTGATATGATTTAAATCATGTAAAGTTTGCCGATATGTAAATACAACAGTACAGAAGGGAAAGAAGAAATAAAATAAAAAAGTCATTAATTAATTTTCTATAAATATTTTTCGATTCTTTTTTCTTCTCTTCTTCCTTTTCACTTCTTATATTGTTCATAAATTGAAATACTGAAAGCAATAAATTAGCTATTGTCAAAAGAATGATAAAAACGTAAAATTGAACCTCAAAACAGAAGTACTAATTAATTCAAATTAAGTTATCCGAACATTGTGCATAATTTTTTCACATTTCCTGCTATATATATTTTTTTTTGATATTTACTGTTGTTGAGTTAACTTTCATTTTAACTATTCGATTTTTTAGCTTCTTATTTTATCCATTCGTGCTATTATCATATTCATTACAGCAGAAATAGTAATGGAATAAAAACTAAATTAAAAATTGGGAAATATCACATAACAGAATTTGTAAAGTTCTCGACAAGCATATTCATTCAAAAGTTTTCCCTTCCCATCTTCATCTACTTTTTTCCTACAAAATCGATAAAATATCTCAAATTTTATTGAAAACATCCATTTCTTATCATTTCTTCCTTCTTCATTTAGTCGATATTTTTCTTTATCGATATCTTTATTATTCAGTAAACAATGACATCTTTTTTTTTTGTTTTCTCTTTTTTTTTCTGTCATAACTTCTTTTCCTTTACTTATTGAATGGAATTTCAAATTTAAATATTTGTAATTTTATACATTTGGATAAACTTAGTTTTACTTTCAATAAACAATATATGCAAATTACGGCTTTTGTTGTCCAAAAAGGCATCGAAATCTTTCGTCTTTCATTACAACTAATCAACGTCTTTTGGTGGCATAATCCGTTAGTTTATTTCATTTTAATTTAAATTTTCACCCAATCATTAATCCTAATGAGCGCCTCGGATCGGATAATAGCGTTGAATTGAATATTTTTGGAATAAATGCAAAATGAGGAAATGCCAAATAATTATTGGAACTTCATAAAATTATTTAATTTCTTTTGTCAAGAAACCTTTGGAAAAAAGTAAAAAGAAATTTTGAAAAAAAAAATTGGAAAAAAATTTTAAATTCATTTGCTATCAATTATGTATTTATTTTGAGCTTTAAAATAAATGTTATTCATTAAAAACACATCACTGATATGGGATAAAAAAGGGGACTTTTTAACAATTTGAACCAAATGCTATGCCAAACATTTTGAAACAGTACTTCAAAAAATTTCAATTCTTTTTTATTGTTTACAATAAAACGAAGAGAATGTGGAAAGAGGAGAAATGAAAGTTTTGAAAAGATGGATGTAATTCACTATAATTGATATGTTTTATTGTTCATTTGTGATTTATAAATGTTAAATATGTCTTTGTTTTTAATTTTATTTCATTCTTAAATTTTTACAATACATTATTGTTTATTTGATAATGTATGATGAAAAAAATACATTACTTTAAAATAAAAAAAATTGAAGAAGCAAATCTTTACATATGAAATAATAATTATCGCATTGAATAATTAATTGTAGATCATAAAAGAGGAAAAAAAAGATAACAAAATATTTTGAGCAATTACAATAATAGCAATAACTGGGGTGTTGGATATGCAAAAACCGGTTAGTTCAATTTATCTCTCACAATAATAATCAAAATATTTGAGAATTTGAAAATTTTCAAAATATTTCTCTCTCGGAAGAAACGGAAAAGAAAGAAAAAAGCAAACTTTTGATTTTTAATTTTAACAAAAAGAGAGAGGGAAAAAATTAAACAAAAATTTATCATTTTTCTTGGTAATTTTTAAATATGCTTCCTAACAAAAACGGCATACATGATATTGAATTTTAACTAAATTTAAATATTCCTTCACTAAAAAATAATTATTATTATTATAACAAGACGAGAAAAAGTATTGGTCTCAATTGAACAAAAAAAAATTTTAATTTAAATTGTAGAATTAAAAAAATTTCATAATTTTTTTAGTATTTCTTATT